TTTAGGTACAATTACATAATTTAATTTCTTGGGAAAAAAGCTGCATACCGGTCCAGGAAATTTGCATTTTACTCGACTGGTATTTTTTGCAAATACCCCTCCTGGACATTTGTATCTGTTTAATTTATAGGGAAAATAGGAAGAATCAGTTAAGTTTAAGTTTTCTCGCGTATTATTCAATACTATATTATATATTACGTTGTTTCAATGCTCACAACTTTTTCATTGTTGTCTTCAATTTAAATATCAATTTAAAACACCTACACTATAAATAAAGGCAACAGTAGTATAACGCTGTTCAATAGTCATAAATCGATTAAGCGAAAAAAAAATCCGGGTCACAAACCAAAACCGAGGGAAACACATCAACTATAAGAGGAAAACAACGGAACAACAGAAACACTGAACTGCAACAAAAACAAACGCCAACATTCATAGAAACGGACTATTTGATAACAACTGCCATACTCCTGACTTGGTACAGGACATTTTTAAAAACGGTGGGTTGAACCTGGTTTTATGGCTAGCCAAACCCCCCGCCTCTATGACAATGTTAAAAAAGCAAACTATACATTGTACTTTGATATTTTTATGTATGTTATTATTATATTTTCCAGGTATCGAATTTCAAGTGAAAGTACTACGGGTAAAGGGAACTGAAACACATACAAAGTTACACACGTTTGTCATATCAAACTGAACTCATATTATCAAAAATAGTATTTATTGCCATTCATTTAGGCCACTCCCGACCCACGAGAGTTTGACCATTCGCCACTGTTATTTTAAACCAAATGTAGAAATCGCTGGTATCATAAAGATATTGCAATTAGATAAACGCAGTCGTTCCTATTGCTGAAGTTTCAAGTGTAGCGTTATGTCCTTCTGGTGTTTTGAATAGAATCGGGTAAATAATCAACTGTTTAAATTAAATCGGTCTGTGTTCAGCTTTCTAGCAAGTGCTTTTTGGCTACATTCGTTACTTTTAATGAAATAGGTAGGGCCAATTTCTTCTGATTTCTTTTGTCACGCATAGATCATTTTTTTTTTACACTTTGTTGGATTCACAGTTTCCCATATTCAAGTTTGCTTGTATGGACTGCTCATAATTATGACTGCCTAAAGCATTCTTCACTAAAACATTTTTTTTACCAAAGTAAAGCGGTGTGTTTTCTTTTAGACAAACAACTCAACTAAAGGAGTAGGTCCGGTAAGGGCCGATTTTGGCCTCAAAATTCAGGTTCATCTGATGAAAGATTTTTGACACTTTTTAAACACTTAAGTGTCTACTTCAGTCGATTCAATTAGTTTATGTGAAAGATTTGAACTGATTTAGTCATTAAAGACGCTCAAATTCAAGCTTAAATATGAAAAATCTATCAATTATGCCATAATATGTCACTTTTCAGATGGTTTTTGTCAAAAATGAAAGTGGCCGCATCCGTGTTCATTCTCAACCTTTAGATATGTTATGTATTATCATTAAATACAACTTACATTTAAATATCAAGAATGAACACAAATGCGGCCGATTCCATTTCAGACGGAAACCGTCTAAAAATTAACCAAAATGCTAAAATTTCGAAGATTTCAGTAATTTAGCATGACTTAATGATGCTAGTACCCGATACATGTGCATTGTATTGTCAAAAACAGCCCATATTTATGTAACAGAAGTATTCTTCTTTCCAATATATAGCTAAAAATTTACATTTTAACAATTTTGTAAAACTGCTATATGTTGGGGCCAAAAAGGGGTCTTACTGGGCCTACTCTTTTATTTTGGTTATGGACGTCCTTCGGTGCAAAATTGGATAAACACAAGTAAAATATGCTAGTATTGTATCACAATTAGTTTCATTAAACATCAGTTTCTAGAGCTGGATAACATTTTGAATATATGGATGCTTTTGAAATTGTGATATATGTAACATATGCTATATTTTAGAATATGTTATTTCAAATTCCAGTAGGTCTCAACAACTTTTGACTAAAAAATAAAAGATAAACAGACTATACCTCTAAACACATTTTAAAAAGTTTGTCAAATGAGATAATGAAAGAAACCAAAATCATAAAAGTTCTGTCATTTTTCATCAGTTATCTCAATTCTTTTCGTTTGACTAATGTCTCAATCGGTAATGTCCTTGTCGTCCTACAATGACAATATTTCTTAGTCTTCTCTGTCATTGTCGTAATCGGACAAATATCATTGTTTCATTGTCTATTATATACATTGTATGAAAAAAGGGATGTGGGGTAAACGTCAATGAAACAATCATCCAAGGGCACAATAAAACCAGAAATGAAACCCAGAGGGCAATATATGTGGTCTTCAACAACAGACACGTGTCTTTACCATATGCTATCCTCTAATTCTTGCTGAGTCTATACAATGTGATCTGCCATCAACACACAATTCATCAAGGACAAATTTACAAAGATACCAACAAAAGATTACCATTAATAAGGTTCCTGGCTTGGGACAGGCATATTAACTTGTGGTAGATTAAACAACGTTTTTATTATATAGTCCCTCTTTTGATCTTTTATTAAGTAATGAAACAAATGTATATAGAAAACGTAAGAAGGTAAAGACAGTTGAGACAAAAAAAAACCACTTACCTCTTACCGAGAAACAAAGGTACGAGTAAGCACTATGATAAATAGAACAGAGAATAGAAACGTGAAATGTGTCAAAGAGACACCACCAAAGAGCAGAAATATATAACAAAATGCCTGCAGTTATTGAGTGTTTGAGGTAAAATTGTTTTTTCAGATGACAAAAGGGTCATTGCTTCTTAAAATTAGGAGGTTTTTACCTTCGAGTACCTTTCATACAGTCAAGTACAGAAATATATCTATTGCAATGTCGAACATAAACTTTTGTTTCAGACCAGCTATAGAGTAAAGTAAAAACTAAACCTTTGAGGTGTTTCACCGACTCCAAAAACGAATCGTTATCTAAAAATATAGCTAGAGACTAATGTAAGTTACATTAACTTTTTAATTTTTTATTTTATTCTTTGTATTTTTTCAAGATGTTCCCGATTAATATTCAGGCATAAGATTTAATCTTAGGAAAGGGCATGATAAAGCTAATTTTACAGGCACATTCAGAATGTGGCGGGATTAAACATGTTTATGAGCGCTCAACCCTACTTTTAACAGCATATAACAAGAAATGTCTTGTACACAAATTTTGAATTGACTTGAAAATCTTTTGATTGATAGATTGATTGTTGGTTGCTTAACGTCCAGTGGCAAATATTTCATGCATATTCAGGACGAGAACAAGTTCACAATAAATACAATAGGTAGGTTCTGTAATAGATTAAGGGATTATGGTCGGAGAAATTTAGACTGCCACGGGAAATGAGGGTATATTGGATAGGGACAGAAATTTAGCCTTGCAACAGGTCACCTACGGACCCCTCAAAGAGTTGTTGCAAGGGTTCTTAACGTGCAAAGAGCGTGGCACTCTCTTTACACGAGGCATCGGATTTAACGTCCCCATTCTGACCGGACGTGGCTGCAAATTTGTACATCCCGCACAGCCAAACGGACGCCCCACTTTAGCACGGGTTTTACTGCCGGTCGGAGGAAGACCAATGGTGACCATACTTCTATTCCCCAGTCACCCTTGGGGGTTGAAAATCTTTTGGATAATGCAGTTGCCCATATTCAATCATCTAAAACTTTGTATATGTTTTATATGAAATCCTGTGATTTCTCCAAAGTATAACTTTGCATAATTTGTAGTTGTGCTGTATATTTTAAATTTACCAAAAAGGTTTTTAATTTCGGTCTTAAATGAGAATGCTGAAAATTAAGACAATATAAATGTTCTCAATAAATATCTCACAAGTTATACGAACGCCATAATGTTTTTTTTTATAGAATATCTTTGTCAAAGAGGACCACATGTATTATTCAACTTGTGATAACTACATTCTTGTCATCTTTTTACGATTGTGACATTACCGTATATGGCTCATCATCGATTTTTTAATTGCAATTAGTAACACGACGGGGATAAGTAGTTGAGTAGGAAACGCTTACCCTCCCAGAGTTCACTCCTGTTTTTGGAGATGTTCATGTTATTCAATCTTTATTTTGCTATCTGCGCAATGTCTTGTTATCGTTGTTTGCCTTTTCGTCGTTTGTTTTGGGTCATGGTGTTGTAAGTTTTTATCTGACCCCCACCCACTTCGGTATCTTCTCTCTCTTTTCACAAGTCCAGTTACAGATAGACATCAGAGTGAAAACAATTGGAGTAGCTCGAAATCCAAATGGTGTAAGACAAGTTACATCGACAAGGTAAACAGTTTCTGGTATGCATCCATTCATCACTGGTCACAAGATTATAAAGTTTTATCCAGTAGTTACGGTCAAAGCCAGGGACAACTTATGTCATTCTGACATTGTAATTGGTCTTTACGTTGTCATATCGAATAAGTTGAGAAACCGAAACACTTATTGTTTTGCTCACACATTTTTGTCAATATAATGGAATTCTATATGACTATCATACAAGTGAGAGGTTTAGCTAGCTATAAAAACAGGTTTAATCCACCATTTTCTACATAAGCAAATGCCTGTACCAAGTCAGGAATATCACAGTTGTTTTCCATTCGTTTGATGTGTTTGAGCTTTTGATTTTGTCATTTGATAAGGGACTTTCCGTTTTGAATTTTCCTTGGAGATCGTTATTTTTGTTATTTTACTTTTTTTCTGTTATGATGATAACGACCGAAAATCTTGTAAAGTTTCCGGTCGTTCTTCCTCATAACCTTGCTGGAGTAGTCTTTTTATAATAACCTGAAAAATGAAATCCTTATTTTAGGAACCAGCATCAGGAAATATTATGTAAACTGATATGACAAACGCCATTAAAGCTAATACAGATGTTATACTTCCACGTGTGAATGGGAAGCTGACAACAGGAGGACTTTACCAAAGGCATGTAATTGAAAGTCCTGATGTTCTAAGACCAGTCAACTTTTACATTTATTCTACAAAGTGAACAGCTAAAATTTTAGAAGTGAAATCATCTGATCAGCAGAGAACATAATACAACAATGCAAAAGATTAAAAATGGCATGATACATAGTTCAAAGTATAGATCGAAATTCTATGAAAAGATACAAATATTGAAAAAAAACAGCTTCATGTCGTCAAAAGGACGCAATATGTTACAAGTAAAATGCCAATAGATTAAAAAATATAAATATACAATTATCTGGCAGTTTTAAACTGTATTTTTTTCAATATTCAATTTATCTGCACCTACAAAACCTCGGTACAGTTTCAAAAAAATATCTGATTTTACATCAATTGCTAACAATAAAATAATCCCAACACAAAACAAGTAACAATAAAATTGAAGTTATTAAACAATAGAATCAAATGAGGCATGTACATTTCTTTTACATCTATATCGACCAATCAAATTTGAATTATGTCTATAGCAGTGTAATCAAAGTAGCCATTGTTCTGGTTTTGTAAAACATCCCGATAATCATAGTACCATTGTGTTTCAATACAATAGCACAATACAGAAACATCTTTTATTATGAATTGTTGAACAAAAGGCTGCCTCTGTCCAATACATATTAATTTCAATGGAGAATGAGATATAGCGATTGATAGGGCTTCAATTAATAACATATTGTTTTCTTCATTGTGTTACTGCCGGAAAAGAATTAACGGTAATATGCAGCAAATAATACGATAGAAATCATTGGGTGCTTTATGTCCGTACAATAGAGTAAAGAATTAAATAAAGGACACAATGCCATACTATAGGCAAAAATGACAGTTGGTGGTCACGAAATGAAAGGCTGCTGTTATGCCTCTATAATGGTATCGTATTTGTTAAACATAAAGAGTTAAAACAAGGAAATACTTTTGTTGTTTTAGCTGCTGGAAGAAAAGAAGTTGAATAGTTTCATGTCTGTTGTTAAAACTGTCTGCAGGTATTCCAATCTCAGTTCCTGTCATTGACTTCCACGGTACTTTCCATTTTCTGAGAGAAAGAAAATGCCCATGTTAATAAGTGAAAGTCACGTTTGGGTTCTATTTATTAGTAGTTGTTTTAAAACTTAAGTTCAGCGCTACACGAAAATCTAAATCTCTATTGAAATCATTCACTCATAATCTGAAGTCGGACGATGAAAGGCCTAATGACATAGGTAATGATGAAACTTATTTTATGTACTATCAAAGATCTTATTGTGGTCTTTCGATGTATTTTCGTTGTTTTTGTTATGTTGTTGTCTCTAACATTTACTTCACATCTTCATATTCATGTGAATTTGCCCTCAACAGATAGTTTTCTTTGAGCATGTTTTCACAGGTTTTTATCACTTTTTAAGGTATTGTTTTCCATGTAGATCTGTTTTTGTCTTCTGTAATACCGATAATACGGCTAAAAGTGGCGTTTGATACTTCTGTAATACCTATAATACGGCTAAAAGTGGTGTTTGATACTTCTGTAATACCGATAATACGACTAAAAGTGGCGTTTGATACTTCTGTAATACCGATAATACGGCTAAAAGTGGCGTTTGATACTTCTGTAATACAGATAATACGGCTAAAAGTGGTGTTTGATACTTCTGTAATACCGATAATACGGCTAAAAGTGGCGTTTGATACTTCTGTAATACAGACAATACGGCTAAAAGTGGCGTTTGATACTCACATCTTGAAAGGAAATTCTAATACGTAGCAGTGCCTCTGTTGGTCCATACCATTTTTGTGACTGGTTATTTTTTTCATTTATGGGGTCGAACCTTATATTGTCATGATACTAGAATGATTACACACTATCTGTAGATATGAAGGTTTTATAACTTTAAATTTGAATGAAGTAATGGTCCATAATTGGACCAGTATGAAAATGTGGCTAGTCATATTTGAATTATTCCTTTTAATTCTTTTATTTCAGGAGTTGATCCTTCCCGAATGTGTTTTCGTTATCGGAAGATTTGTAGTCAGGCAGGAACATGTGTCAGATTCTTGAAATTAAACAAGGGTCCCACAGATTTTTAATCGAGAATTAGATATAATTAGATAAACTTTTTGGTAGAATTTCACTTACATTTTTGTTTCAATGATTCCAAATCTATAGATATAGGATGAGGAATTCAATGCCAATCGAAAGAAAGTTTTTTACAGCCTAATCTTCTGAAAAAAACATCCTATAATACAATATATAAAGTTCCATCATTAATATGATGATAGTCGAGACTATTGGTAAAGCAAATCATCAGGTAATGGGAAGCCCTTTAGGTACTAACTTAGTGTTCATTTTATTTTACTGACATGTAATGTTATGATAAAGATTTATCTAAAGTTGATGAAGAAATTGATGATGATCGAGAGCTGTTGGTTCGCACTGGAATAATCTTCATCTACCGGAAAAGAAAAAAGGTATTCAAATGTTGATTAAACATAACCTATATCCTAAATATAAAGGTACGATTTAGTAACAGTAACGCATAATATGGGCAATATATAGATATATACAAGTTATTATTACTAATTAATTGCTAACAAATCACTTTCTGGATTTAATTTCATCAGAAACGCTCATAGTCAAAATATCGGAAGTCAAATAAAATAAGTATTCTGAGGGAATTGCATATGCAATTCATTTGACCTCTTACGGCTGTAACGTTTGCTTCAGGTGCGTTTTCACTTATATACTCTGCAAAAAATAAAGAAACGCATAATGGATTTTTAAGAATTTTAATAAATAAATTTTGAATGGAAATTTTACAATTACTATTAACGATATTCACTCAAAACGTGTTTGATTGAGAAGAGGACAGTCAATTCCTTCGAGGTTGATGAATAAAAGTCAATTTATCACAATTAGAGTTACTTCCGGTGCCATTAAAGTGAGTACCGTGTAAGACCACCATTCGCTGCTAAGACTATTACGCATCTCCTCGGCATATAGATGCTATCAATGTTTTAATGTTGTTGCGTGGAATTGCTCGCCATTCCTGTGGCAACATTTGTCGGAGCTGATCAAGGGTCTGAGGCGTGGGTTGACGCTGGCGCACACGTTTATCCAGTGGGTCCCATAGATGCTCGATAGGATTCAAGTCCGGTGATTTGGAAGGCCAAGGTAGCACATTGATGTAATTCTGCTCAAGGTAGTCCATTGTTAAACGCGCGGTGTGAGGCCTAGCATTGTCCTGCTGGAATAAATCCCTCTGTCGGTCAATAACATGCATAAGGTGAGGTTTGAGAAATTCGTCTCTGTACCTTTGAGCCGTTAAATTACCCGGAACATGTACCAATTCCGTTTTACGGTCATTAGAGGTAGCCACTCATCGAAGCTGTCCACTTCTTGGAAAAATGAGGAAGCAAAACGTTAATTCATGTGGCGGTAGACACGGAGTTCTTCCATCACGTTTCTGAAGCATAAAACGGGACTCGTCACTGAACCAGATTCTGCGCCAGTTGCGGAATGTCCTGCCCCTCAATCTGTTGCACCATCGAACTCTATTCCGTCTGTGTAACGGCCTCAAAACGGGTCCAAAATACGGCCTCCAGGGTCTAATGCCATAATGTCGCAGTCGATTGCGGACTTGTTTGTGAGCTGATTCTTCTCAATCCTGGTATCCCAACTGCAGTGGCTTTTGTGGCAACGGTTCGATTCAGTACATGAAATACCCGGATGTAGCGATCTTGTTCGGGAGTCGTTAGGCGAGGTCGTCCACTCCTCGGGCGGTCCTTAGTACAGCCAGTCTGCTGGCATCTGTTCCAAAGTCGCGAAATTGTGCTCTGATTAACATTTTCAGTTCTTGCTACTTCACTTTGGGACACTCCGGCCTGGAGACGGCCGATGACGATATTTCAAATAGCAGGGTCCAAACTTGGCATGGCAGCGTTTTAACGTTGTGATGAATTAAATCTTCAAACTTGCTTCTTAAATGCGCAAAAGTGTAACAGTTGAGTTGACCATAAAATTCTCGTGAAAAACGTTAGCAAAATTTCGCGGCGAAAAAGGTCATATGCACTTTAGCGAGTCGCAAATTCATGTGGCAGAGAGCCAAATCAAAAGAACGGGCATTTTAAGTTAAAAACTTACCTGTAATAAATTCGGTGATGCAATTGAACGTTTCATTTTACCTTGTAAAATTATATATTTTGCATTTTGAAAAACTCATCCGAGCTATGGGTTTCTTTTTTTAACAGTATATATGGTACACGCATATTAGTGAGGGGGGTAGGAGGGGTCCTGATCCCGAAATCCCGGGCTTAAAAACATGGAATCCCGAGGTCCCGAATTTAAAAAAATTTAAATCCCGACATCCCGAAATTCGAAAAAAGAATTCCCGGATCCCGAAAGGATCAATCCCGAAATCCCGAGCTTAAAAACACCCGAGTCCCGATAAAGGTCCTACCACCCCCCCCCCCTTAAGTTGCTACCGATGTAATTTGCAATTTCCAATTATGTAATAACTGGAACAAATAACATTTAACCTGGAATTTACCATGTCAACAGAAGAAAGAAATCAACTATATATGGATATAAACTTTATTTGGTGATAACCTGCAACATAAAATATTATTGACTTTATGAACATTAATTTGAACTGCACATATTGTAACATTTGCATCTTTTAACTTTATCCATTTTGTTTTGCAAGTGCCCCCTTCCACTTGTTTACCAAACTCGTTTCACTTGATAACATATTTTTTAAAGATCGTAAGGTGTCTGGCATAAATATTCATATACCTGAAATTATATTTCAACCCATTATAAGTCCTGAAAGTGTCTAAGTAAGGAAATATTTAAGATTTTACTATCGGTCAAAACCATGTTTCTCGTTTCCCTGTGAAGAGCCATTTTACTGATCATGTGACCGCAGTAGGAAATATTTTTGTCGTTGTAACGTTATACTTTAAATATCAAAAAGTAGTCTTTAAGAGTAAGAAAGAAGGCATTGTATTAATAATTTTATTAAAGCTTCAATGTTTATACCTGTAAAAGAATAGTTTATAGGAATTATATTGTTAACCAGTTTACCGCTGGAATTTAATATAAGTACTCCCGTCGTCTGCTAGTACTACGCACTGCTAGAACTTGGAAACAAGTCTAGTTACAAAGTTTTAAGCCTCTAACTATAAAGTTTAATAAAGGAAAAGTTAAGACTAAGTCCCATCCCTTTGATAATCAATGGACAGGCAATTTAATGTCCATTTTGTATATAATTTCTTAATGCTTAATGCTCTGCTCAGTGAAATGGCGGATAACTTGTTAGCTCAAGCCTAACTAGTAAGCTTAACCATCTTCTTGAAAGTTTATCATTACCAGACCAATTCCAAACAGAAAAGCCAAGCAGGTTAATATACTTTAATTCATTATGATAAGATGAAGTATTTTTAAGGAAAAGTAAATGTAGCGGCAGTTATCCCCCACCACACTGAGTGACCTAAATGTCCCGAAAATGATTACTAACTAAGGCGTCTGCATTTGTGTATATATATATATATATATGTAAATAAATATAATATACGTTAGAACTTTATTTTACAACTCAACTATGGAGTATAATGAGTGTATTGCCTGGCATCCATTCGTCTTCTGAGGTAGAAAATCCAAGATGCAGTATATTTCTGACGAGAGCATAATGGGCCCTAAAATTGTCAACAGACCCTTCCACAATTACTCGGCCTGTGGCGGCGGTCTGTTACAATATCATAAGCTGGATCAGAACATTCCATATAAAGATAAAAAATATTGCCAACAACTACTGTCCCATCCCAACCCCTGAAACATAAGGTTTTCATTCTCTAAAAACTGATATTTTAAAGTAATTAGATGTGTCCAAGAACCACAACTCCTGCAATTATCACTCAACCAAAATGAACTCAAACTCTTAACTTCTTCTGATAGGATTAAAATATCACAAAATATAAACACCAAATATCTTAACAATTGATTCAGGCATTATAGAAAAAAGTGTAGAAAACTGATATTTAAAAAGATTTTTCCATGTAAAGGGTCCATAACTCCTACAAAAACACTCAAATACATAATCAATAGATGGAAATATAGAAAGAAGTGCGAAAAACTTACCGGACGGAATAACGGACGGACGGACAGACGGACTTACGGGTGGGCGGACTGACGGACGGACAGATAAAGTACAAATCTGAAAGAAGGTTTATATAATATAATTAGAATTGCTTAAACGTTCAATTGTCAAAATTGTTCGAAGCATTTGAAGGCTTCGTTTTTTATAACATCTATTAATAGATAAACTGAACATTTTGCATCGAAATGTATCGAACAACCAGTTTTATGAGTTCTTAAACACGATTTATTTCCTATTCTATTCAACGAATAGAGAAGGGTTTGTCACAATACTAGAAAAACGTTTATTGATAACTGCTTTTGTTGACAAAATATTAAAAAAAAAGCTCTAACGCCATGAAATTAAACTCTAATTTCATATTGGAGTGGAAATCCCATCTGAACAAAAGATGAATAAATAATTAAGCAATATTGACAATTTTAAAATTCACGCTATTGTTCAGATCCTGCTTAGAACAAAAGATGACGGATTCAGAGTATTTTGAACATGAATAATACAAATGCATAGAAAATTCTATAATTATACCTTTCCTGTTTATTGTTATGTATTATAGGCATTGTTCAAATGATTTATTCTAATTTGGCATGTATATGGTATATAAACATACTAAGTGATCAACTTGGAAAAAATTAAAAAAGAATAAAAACTATAAAAAACCATGACTATAGAATTGTACATGATTTTTCCGTTTGATTCCATTTTATGATTGTTACGATTGATGTAGATTTTCATATACACAAACAGTTATGAGAGAGGTAAAAACAATAACACAGATATATATATAGTCTATGTTACTATGTATAACACCCACAGAGTAAAGAACTGAAAGATTGAAACTTTTTATTATTTTTATAAAAATTCACGAAACCCGGACAACGTTTTTTAGCTGTTTAACTTATATATAAGACAGTTTTATTGAAAAAAAAGTATTTGTAAAGTTTTGTACAGAAAGTTATACATATTCGACTTGAATCTTTTATTGTCTGAATGACAATACATTGTTTCACTTTCGGTTTTGTTTTGGTTAGGAATGTTCTCGTTAGTAAACTATCAATTCAAACTTTCTCGAATTTGTCAAAACTGCAGTTTGAAAGAGTTTATAAGTCTTTAATAGATTATTCAATATTCAGAAATCAGGCGTTTTGTTGCAGTATACAAGAAGTTATAATACAGGAAAATTTAGTGCAGATTAATTGCAGCAATCGAATTTTTACTGTTACACACCTTCTTCTGTTCTTTATATTTTTTTTTGGTTCCGGTGTTTCGATCATCCATCTTTACTCAGTATTCGGAGTACAAAATTTGTGCTCGAAATACCAAATCTAGTATTTTGATTGATTGATATCTGAGTCTGAATACGATAACCGTACTCCAAGTTTTTATGACTGCAAGACCTGGTCTTAGTATTTATGTCACTAACACTTGAAATATAATTTTCCCCGTTTTAATCAACTTGTTAGCATGTAAGCAACTAGAACACAAAAACACCTGCAATAAAAAAATCGTACTCTTCATCTGAAAAACACCTGCATCTCACCGAGGGATTTTTATCTTTGAGCAATAAAAAATAACAATCAGCATTATATCACTAATAAAACAGGCATTTAAAAAGTACTTGAGGAAAAGATGCGATCATTAATGAATTCTTTGACATCAAATGGCATATTAGATCCTCACTACGCGATATTTTAAAACGGTATTATCATTTGAAGACGTCTTAATAACAATAGATTGAAAGTCATTTGCTAATATTTACATATTTCAGAGCAATAACCCTTTTCAAACTTGAGGACCTTTAAGAAGTGTTAAAGATTAACAAATTTCTCTTATTCAAATACGGATATTTCTCAACGATTTTTATGAATAATGCACGCCCCCCTAAGACACCTAAATATTCAAAGGCCTTTATATCCTAATTAATTTCTCCTATAACATGACTTTTCTTTCACAGAGTGACATGTTGTGTCGATCCGGCTTTTGTTCGGGTTATTATAATTCTTTTGAGGCCATTATATTGAGTTTTCAAATAATATAATTTGCTAAAGAATATCAATTCTTCTTTTGTGCTTTTAACAATACATTTATGGTTATCTTTGTATTGTGCAATTCTAACGCATAATGCATGCCCTTTGTGAAGTGGTTTTCAATCATTTTACCAAATAACCCTTCATCAAAGTTTCTTTTCTTGGTAGCATATTTGTCATCGGAGTCCTATCGTTTGTATTATCCCGATCACAATGGGCTATCAATGAGCAGTTTGAAAATTGATATTTGAATATAAAACCAAAAGAGGACTTTGACAATAATGTCTCTAATACCTGCAAAGTTATTATTTAATTTCAAAGGATTTCGTTACCGTGATGTGTTTTCTATTGAGCTACCCCTGTAACAGATGGAGTCAAACCAAAAAAACAACTAATAGAAAAATGTACAAATGTTTTGCAAATTAAATTTGTTTTGTACAAACCTAATGCAGTGCATGTAGCTAAGAGGATCGGGTTAATGACACGAAACGTAGTGAATTATTTTCTATTCAAATTCTTAACAAACAAAAGATGTTAAATTGCGTCAACAACATGTTTCTCTATTACTAATTTGGATTAGGAAATGATCAAAAAGAAACTGTATTGTGTGATCAACAAAGAAATACGTTAGTGAAGATTTTAGTTTGTAATGTTTTTTTGATATTTACGCATTTTTGATTTTATCCTCATTTCATTTATAAGTACTTAAAATTAACCATATTGAAAGGTATAAATAGAAAATGAAACTGCACAACTGCAGATGTGATGCAATAACACAAAAAGTTGTTAATCTGGCATTTGAAGTTTTGATGTTCTTTCCAGTTCTTAATCGGACATTATAAAAAGAGAATACCAAAATTGATATTTACTATAGGCGATAATGATCTTGTACATGCATAAGATACAGTTGAGATTCGAAATGTTCCCCGATGAAAGCAACAGAAAGTTTAGAAAATATAAAAATACGCACAAAGGTGCACATATGAGAAACTATTTCAGACATACACGATTGTTCCAATGACTTAACTATTATTGTTTATGACCGAGTACACATGTCTCTAATAAGACAAAGCATTGTGATGGTTTATGGTAGAGTACTTTTGTCTCTAATGAGACAAAATACTGCATGGTTTATGAAAGAGTGCACATGTCTCTAGTTAGCCAGACTTTAAGTCTCAGGTCAAGAGTCTTTAATTTCTTATTAAGACCAAACACTGTAACCGGACTATGCAATGGTTTAGGACAGAGTATGTATGTTTCTAGGAAGACCAGACACTGCCACGCTTTTAATGACAGAGTACGCTTGTTTCTACTAAGACCAGACACTGTAAGGGTATATGATAGTGTACACAAGGTTCTAGTAAGACCAGACATTGTAACAGTTTTTGTGAAAGAGCTAGTATGCCTCTACTAAGACCAAACACTGCAATTGTCTATGACAAAGTACGCATGTATCTAGTAAGACCAGACATTGTAATTGTTATTGACAGAGTACGCTTTTCTCCAGTAAAACCAAACACTGTAATGGTATATGCCAGAGTACATGTCCCCAGTAATACCAGACAATTTAATGGTTTATGGCACAGTAAACCACCAAAATCGTATCTAATAAGACCAGACATTGTAATGGTATATGCCAGAGTTCACATGTCTCTAGTAATACCAGACAATTTAATTGTTTATGGCACAGTAAACATGTCTCTAGAAAGACCAAACCCTATCGGGGTCTTTATAGCTGATTATATAATATGGGTTTTGCTCATTGCTG